CGGCGTGCGAGTGCATCCCCCGTGGGTGCATGGACACGACAGGATGTGGGTGCCTTCACCGTGGGCGCGGTCACGCCTCCGGGCACACTCCCGGCCTCAGGAGCTCCAAGTCGTGAAGTCCCCCGTGAAGTGTCACAGGCCGTGCTGGCGGAGTTCGCAGCCCCCGGCAGCCCCCGCCCCTCCGCCTGGCACGGCTGGGTAGGCTGCGGGCTGCGAGCCGGCGATGAGCTCCCGGGTGCTGCCATCGGCAGAGAGCACTGTTCAGTCGCTGCTCGCCTCGCCTGGGGCCATTTCTCTGGACACAAAGCCTTGGCAAGTTCGTGCTGTGCTCCTGGGTTCGCGTGGCTCAGCACGCACCGCTCGGGTGGTTCGCAGCAGAGTGTGAGCAGATACACTCCCTTTACGTGCGGGGTGCCCCTTCCCGTCACGGGCGCTGCTTGAGCTGCACCGGCAGCTGCTGGAGAGGCAGCGCCCAGCCCGCCCGCGGGGCTGTCTCCGTGCTGGTGCCTTCCCTGTGTGCTGGGGAGGGCTGTGCCGCGTGGCAGCGGCTCTAGGGGAGTACAGTTTCCGAGTGCTGCTTACTGTCTGCAGGCAGGTTTGTAAGCCCTGAGTAGTGGAGCAAAGCCCTGAAGCCTCAGGGTCCTCTCTCCGCTGTCCCTTTTAGGAGGAGTGGCCTCCCATCCCTAGGAGTGAGCCGGGTTTGCCCATCCTTGATGATGGAGCTGGAAACGCCACAAGCTCTCTGTACCCTCCCCTGAAGAGCTGGCACCAAGCACAACCCAGCATCTCCTCTCCAAAATGCCTGTTTCTGCCTGGGACTGCCCAGGCCCTTGGCCTGAGCCTGCATGATGCAGGACCCCTGGGATTCTGCCTGAGTGCCAGACAGCTCCTGCCACACTGCTCTTCCTGCCGTTCACTCACATTTCACAGGGCTGTGACCCCCGTGGGCTCACATTGCTCTGAACCCTGCAGTGGGGCGGGCAGCAACCCGAACCTGGCAGCTGGGGTTTCAGAGCCAGGGCAGGGTGGCTGTGCTCCTGGGGTCACCTCCCCATCTGCACCATGCCTCAGCAGAGTCATCCCCGGGGCAGGCAGGTGCCTCTCATCTCTGTGAGATGAGGAGATGCAGGGGCTCTCGGCAAGCTAGACTGCTCTCCCTGCCCAGCAGCTCTCTGTGCCTCTTCCCGCCAGCTCTTGCCCTGCTTTGCCGGAGGCTGTTGCCATGACACTGACTAAAGGCTCCTTCACCTACTCCAGCGGGGAGGAGTACCGCGGCGAGTGGAAGGAAGGTGAGATGGGGCAGGAGGGGACGGTGCCATCTGTGCTGTGAGACAAGCAGCCCCCATATCCCTGCCTAGCTCCACATGGGGGTAGGCCCTGCCTCTGTCCAGCACTGCCCCTTTCTGCCCTCACCTAGGTCGCAGGCACGGCATTGGGCAGCTGACGTTTTCCGACGGCACCGCCTACGTGGGGCACTTTGAGAACGGGCTGTTCCACGGCTGTGGAGTGCTCACCTTCTCTGACGGCTCCAGGTGGGCACTCCTACGTACACCTCCCCGGGCACCCCAACTTGCTGTGGGGAGCTGCTGCCTCAGGAGCTCCTCCCCACTCAGATACGAGGGGGAGTTTGTGCAGGGCAAGTTCAATGGCGTTGGAGTCTTTACACGCTGCGACAACATGACCTTTGAGGGCGAGTTCAAAGGCGGGCGTGTGTACGGCTTCGGTGAGTGCCTGGTGGCGTGGTGCAGGCATCCACACAGCCCCTGCTCAGCACAGCCCCTTCCAGCATCTCCCAATTTGTCCTTTCATCCCCTGCCCCCATCCCCAGTGGGTGCTTCTCCTTGCCCCTCCACTCTCAGCCCTTCCCTCCTCTTCCCAGGTCTCCTGACCTTCCCTGACGGCTCCCACGGGGTGCCCCGCAACGAGGGCTTCTTTGAGAACAACAAGCTGCTGCGGCGGGAGAAATGCACAGCCATCATCCAGAGGGCCCAGGGTGCCTCCAAGTCTGCCCACAACCTGACAGCATGACGGTGCCCCACATCCCCTTCCGCCAGAGCAGGGACCCCTCTACTTGGGCACTGGCTGGCCCTGCTGGCCCTGGAGCAGGGATGTGGCACTGCTGGGTGCCTCCTTGCCCTTTGTCCCCACCAAGCATCCTCCTGCCAAACCCCTGCTGCTGGAGGGGATGGGACCCTCCGCTCTCCACCCAAGTGCCCCGGGGCAGCCATGGTGCCTTCTCTTTCTGGCTGTAGCCCTGGCACCTGCTGGAGCAGCAGGAGGGCAGGGTGGTTGGAGCTTGGCCTCTCTGTCTCCCAGAAAGACTGTGGACCACTAGGGCTGCAAACCTGCTGCAGAGGATGGAGCAGTGGGACAGGGGCTGGTCCCTGACCCCACTGCCAGGGTGCCTTGGCTGGGAGCTGCTTGCTGGACAATGTGCCCCCAGAGGGGCAGTTCCTGGCTTGCTTCGCTGCCCTGGTCTGGAGGCAGGATGGGTACCCTGGGCACGCTGTGGTCTGTACCCTCAGTTCTGGGTGACTGGCCATCCCCCTGCATGCCCTGGGTAGGGTGGCATGGTGTCTCGGAAGAACCCAGCCTGCTCTCGAGGCCAGCTGATTCCCCTCATCCCTGTGTTAATCCGCCTTACCCACTGCCTTGGCGACACCAGCAGCAGCATCCCCACCTAGGGGGATGGGGAGATGCCCAGCCTGGCTCATATCTGCTGCATGCTCGTGGAGGGTGGGAGCAAGGAGCAGGGTCAGCAGGAGCCTGGTATGAGGGTCACAAGCAGGGCTGAGTGGGGTGGCAGGACTGGAGCAGGGGGCCTGGGCAGGGTGGAAGGGTATAGAGGCATGGCGAAGGGGCAGGCAGGGGGAACGCAGCTCCCCATTTTGCCCTCCACATGCATCCTTCATCTCTCTGCTGCATGCTCACCTTCACCCTGGTGTGGTCCGGCTGGCTGTGGTGCAGGGGTCCTGGAAGCCCTCACTGCCTGGTGCGGGGCCGCAGGGGCCATACCCTCCCTGCTGGTCTCTGCCCACACCGGTCCCGTGCCTTGCCGTGACCCTGCCTTGTGCTGCTGCCTGCACGGGCCTCAGCTGAGTAAACCATGTTGCCAAACACCTGTGCCATGTCCTTTTTGCTGCGAGCAGGGATGGGGCAGGGGGCTTCTCCAGGAAGGACTGCAGACACAAAGGGAGGACAGCCATTTTATTCATGGCACAAGGATCCACCCCTTCCCAGGTGAGAACAACAGGCCCCTGGGGGCTGGCAGGGATGCAGGCTGGCCAGGGGTTGCCCCCTTTACCCACTCTGCCCAGCACAGTCATGTCCCAGTGTCCCCACCATGTCCCCCGTTCCTGGGGTCCCTGACTCCTGTGCCTTCCCAGTGTGGGAAGGGGAAGATGGGGGACCTCTTACAACCAACCATTGGTGCTGAAGGTGTTCCTCAGCTCTTCAACCTGGGCAGGGCTCAGTGGGGCCAGGGGTGCACGGCAGGGACCACCGTAGTAGCCAAACCACTCCATGGCCTTCTTCAGCCCCGGAACTCCGAACCGGCGGGTGACCTATGGGAGGGAGAATGCAGGAGCTTGCTCCCATGGGCCAGCATGCTTTGTGGGCTCTGCTTTGCAGCCCCTGCTCCTTGCTCACCATCGCTCCTGCCCTCCACATGTGGGGCTGCAAGGGTGGGCAGGGTGTGAGGTGACTGCAGCACCCCATGAACTGCCCACCATGGGATGGGGGTGCAGAGCACAGCTCCACCAGGGAGCAGCCCTGGGGCACGGTGGGCTCATTGCAACAGGGACAGGCTACTCCATAGTGGGCTAGGGGCCCTGGGAAGGAGCAGTTCTTCCCCCTATTGTTGCCTATAAACAACCAGCAAGGCTCTCAGAGTGGGTCAGGCAGGTGCCCACTGCCAGTGGACATGCAGTTCCTTAACATGGCAGGGCTGGCATTTCCCACCCTGTCACCTCCAGCCCGGCTCAGCTCACTGGCCAGGTGCTGTGCCATCCTGTCACCCTGAACCACTGCTCCACCCCCTGCAGCCCCAGGGACTTCCATCTTTTGCCTCCCCCTGGCTCTGCCATGGCCTGGCACCCCTTCCCCTTAGCATCCCAGGGATGGCTGTCTGCTCACTGCTGTGTTGGGCTCGATGAGACGGTGCTGCAGGTCACGGGCCTCCTCCCACTGGCCCTTACGGCACAGGCGGTCCAGCTGGCACAGGGGGGCCCCCAGGATGTTGGCGAGGGCACAGACACCCCCAGATGCACCTAAAGACACCAGGGCACACTGGCAGCCAGTGTGGCATGCTGTGCCCAGCCAGCACCTCGCAGGCATCACCACCCCTTACCTGCCTCCCCCTGCCCGCATGCCAGTCTCTGCCAGTGTCCCCAGGGCACACCCTGTGCCCCCAGCCAAGGAGGGGCAGCTGCACCTACCCACAGCATAGCTTGCCAGCAGGAAGCCAGCCGATCCTGCCAGCACCTGGAAATCATCCTGCCTTGTCTTGTGGACCATCAGCCCCATGCGGGTGATCTGGGGAGAGACACGCTGTGCCCTAGAGTAGGCATCACCCGTCCCCCTCGCCACATGGTTCCTGCCAGCAGCGCTGGAGTCTGGGGAAGGGCTGCAAGTCCCAGCTCCCTCTTTCCAGCTTGGGGCCAGGTTTGGTGGCAGCCAGCCCTAGGAAAGCCCTGCTCCACTCACATCCCCACCGCTGTCCTTGATCCCAATGATGTTGGGGTGCTGAGCCAGGGTGATGACAGCCTCCATGGGCAGGTCCAGGCCGGTGTTGGCAGGGACACTATAGAGCACCACGGGGATGGGGGATGCATCACCGACCTGCAGGCAGCCAGACAGAGCTCAGCAGCTTGGGTGGGTTGGAGACACGCTGAACATGCTCCCCATGCTGCTGCCCCAGCTGAGTCTGCCACAGGCCCTGGACATGGCTCACCTCCGTGTAGTGATGGACCAGGGCAGCACTGGTCATGGCCCCCCGGTAATAGCAGGGTGTCACAACCAGCGCCACATCAGCCCCCGCCTCTGCCATGCTGACAGTCATCTCAATGGTGGCCTGGGTGGCTGGGGACGAGGCAGAGGGGTGAGGGGTGCTCCGGAGGTGACGCATGCCCCCGGCACTGCCCACACAGGCACTCACATTCACAGCCCGAGCCGGCCAGCAGCAGGCGGTCCCTGGGCAGAGCCCGGCGCACGCTGCTCACCACCTCCAGCCGCTCACGGGGCGCCAGGTAGGGATACTCCCCATTGGAGCCCAGCACCACCAGCCCTGGAACACAAGTGTGGGGAGAGCAGGGCTTGGGCACATGGGCAGAGTGCCAGGACTTCCAGGTACCCCCATCACTCTTACTCCCTTCTTTGCTGCTGGCACCCAATCAGGGCTCTCTCCAGCCCACAGTATGCCCTCTTCCACCTACATCCCTGCAGCCCCAGATCCTCTGGTCAGAAGAGAGGAGACCCCAGGGCACATCCCTGCAACCCCCAGCCTCTTCTGCAGCCCCTGTCCTATCATCCATCCACTCTGGACAATCAACAGATACATATCCCATGAATGTGTGTGAGTGTGCACAGGAGTGCAAGCACACCCATAGGGCACAGGGTAGATGCAAGCCTGCAGCTACAGCTACATGTGGAGGATGTGTGCAAGCCTGCACATGTGTGGAGTGTGCATGCAAGCACACGCTGGCATGCGATGGGGGTATGCAAGGACACACACATGTGCCCGGGCACGTGCCATGCAAAGGGCCCCAGATGGGTCGGCCGAGGGGTTGCCAGCTCTGGAGCAAAGTCCGGCTGGAGGCTGAGCACCCTTGGGAAGCTGGCAGGCTGCCTGCACAGTGCCACACAGCCTCTATGGTGGGCAGGGATCCGACAGGAGCCTGCACAGAGAGGGAGCGCAGGCAACGCTTACCTCGGAAGGGGATGCTGGCATAGCGGGACAGGTTCCCCTCCAGCTGGGCATAGTCCACCTCCTGTTTGGGTGAGAAGGGGGTGGCGAGGGGTGGGAAGATGCCCCTGAGGTCGAGTGAGGGCTCTGGTCCCTGGGGAGTGCTGAGCCCCCGGCACTGCCTGGGGGCTGTCCAGTGCAGAGCTGCCAGGGTGGGCCAGAGAGATGAGGCGAGGCGGGTGCTGAATGCCATGGTGGTCTGGGTGCTGCCGCTGGCTGTGCTGCCTGCCCCGCCGAGGGCTGTTAATGTTTGACAGGGCACGTGAGAGACCCACAACCCTGCTGGGCAGATGACACGGGGGGTGGTACCAGGTGAGCTCAGGATGCTCTTCCCCACGCCAGAAGCTGGCTGCAGGAGTTCAGCAACCATCCAGGTGAGCCCCAGCCACTCCAGCTGTGCTTTCCTTTCTGCTTGCCAGCCCTGGCAGCTGTCCCTCTGCCTCCTACAGGGCTGGACTGCAGGACCAGGGAGGGACCAGGCATTGCAGGCAGTCCAGGGGCTGGGGGCAGGGATCACCTGCCTCAGCTGTTAGTGTAGGGTCTCCTGTAAACAGGTGAGTGGGAGCATTTCTGGGTTGGGAGTAGTGAGCACTGCACTGAGCAGAAAGGTCCCAGCCTGCAAAGGGGTCATGTGTCCCCAGGAATGGCTCCAGTGGGGAAGGCAGGAGGACAAGCAGCCATCCAGCCCCACAGAGTGGCTGCCCAGCAGGGGTACAGTTGCTGCTCTCTGACATGGTCCCAGCTGCCAGCACCATGTGGACTTGAGTTGAGCTGCCCTCCATGAATTTTTCCTCCCTGAGCTTGCCCAGGTGGTATTTCAAAGGACTGTGAGCAACCAGGGTGTCCTGCAGCAAGGATTCCTGCCCTTGAACCACTTGTGTCCTGGCATCATGGTGTCACCAACACTTGAGTTCCTGTGATAGGAGGCAGGGCTCATCATGCTGCTAGGTAACCTGCTCCTGGGATAACCCAGCTTCCCCAGGCCCATCAACACCAGCACAGGCTGCCCAGCCCCACAGCACTCTGGAGCTGAATGCTGCTCTTTGACAACTTTTATTGACACAGACAAGTCTCATCCCTGGAGCCAAGCCTGATCCTTGGTCCTTTCCTGGTGCCATCATGCAGGGACCTCCATCTCCCCCTGTGGCTGCTCCTTGGTCTCCAGTGCCTGGCGCGTGTCCAGTTGCCACTGCTGCACCAGGTCTGTCGGGGTCTTGCCAGCCTGCAAGAGCAAGCAGAGAGAAGCTGGGGCTGGGGTGGTGCAACACGGTGGGTCAGCAAATGGCCTTGGTGCTAGCCCCCCATACTCACCTCATTCTTGGCCATCATGTCAGCCCCATGCAGGATCAACTTTTTGATGATCTTGTAGCGACTGAGCCGTGTAGCATCATGCAGCGCAGTGTCCCCTTCCTGTAAGAGACACAGCCTCACTGGGGATTGTGGTCCAGGGACAGGGATGCCCTGACTGTCCCCAGCTCCCAGCACACCCACCCCAGCACGAGGACAAGGAGAACAGTGCTTGTCCCAGCCCTGGCTGTGGCTGCCACCACCCTGGGGCAGGGATGTGTGTGCCCAGATGTGCCCCACTGTGGGTGCTAGGAGCCTTTGGAGGGGTCAACCAAGGGAGGGGGATCAGTGTTGTCCAGGGGTGCCAGCACTTACCCTGTCTGGGGCATTGATATCCACCCCACAGTGGATGAGGTGCTCCACGATGTCAAGGTGTCCGGTCCGGGTGGCCACATGGAGGGGTGTGCTGAGCAGCTTGAGAGGGGAGGTGGACATCAAGGGGGAGATCATCACCCACTCCTGCTAACTCAGCACAGGGCCAGCCCAGTTGCCCAGGGTATGCCCCTGCCCCCAACCCTGTGACCCTGAGCTCTGCCCTGCTCACCTTGTCCTTCACATTGAGGTCTGCCCCACGATCTTGCAGCAGCTTGACAGCGTCCAGGTGCCCGCCCCGGCAGGCCCAGTGCATGGCAGTGCAGTCCAGCTGGGCACACAGGAGTATGTTATAGCAGGGGACACCCCCACCCTGTGTCCATTCCCCACTCCAGCTGGTCCCTGTGCCCAAGCTGAACTTGTAGCTGAACCTCTGTGACAGGGACAGCACTGCCCCATTGCCCCATAGCAGGGACCTCAATCCTACTGTAGTTCCTACTGCACCACGCCCAGAGGCTCAGACATCATGGAGCTGGGCTCAGGATGCAGCCTCACCCGGTCCCTGAAGTCAACTGTGGCCCCACTGTCCAGCAGCTTCTGCAGGATATCCATGTGTCCCTCCAGCGAGGAGCGGTGCAGGGCTGTGCGGTGGAACTGGGGAACAAGGTGCCACATTGGTGGACAGATCCATCCTCCCCTGGCCCAGCTTGGTTGTACCTCCAGCCCTGTCCCAGGGGTCACAGCCCCTGCCCACAGGCATGCCGGGGCATGGTTGTGGGACATGGTGCCAGGGCACAGGCAGAGGGCAGACAGTGGTTGTCGGGGATGCTACCTCATCACACGTGTCAGCGGGGCCACCATCTGCCAGGAACTTCTCAATGACATGCATCTTGCCCTGAACGGCAGCTCGCAGGAAGGTCTCTGGCTCCACAGGACCCACCTGGCAGTGGGACAGGCTCAGGGATGGGGCATCACAGGGGTGCAGGAGAGGAGACAACGTTGGGCGTCCCTGCTCTGCTTCCCCAGGGAGGGTGGCAGGGTGACCTGGGAGTGGCCCGTGGTTGCTCCAGCCCCCTCCCACAGCCTGGGACCCACTGACGTACAATCTCCAGGGGTTCAGGTGGCTGGGGGGGCTCGGGGGTGGCCGCCCGCTCTGCCTGGCGCTGCCGACGCTGCTTGCGGAGTTCAATGAGTCGTTGGATGCTCCCCACATCGATGATCTCTCGCCGCAGATCCACGGAACTCTTCCGTACCCTCTCCTGGCCCTAGTGAGGACATGCAGTGCCCCGTTTGACTTCTCTGTGCCCAGCTACCTCTGGCCCCCCCGCACCCCAACCCCCTCACCTTGATGGCCTCGAGGCCCCAGTTCCTGGGGCCATGGCGTTTCTCCTCCTCCAGCTCAGGTGTGTTCATCCGCTCCACAGCCGGCGGCTCCCACGCACCATTCCCTTTGGGTCTCTGCACAGGCAGTGGGGGCTGCATGGTCCCGGCTGGGCACAGAGCAGCCCCACTGTCTCCATCCCTAGCCTGCCGGTGCACGTGGCTCTGGACACAGCTCCCAGCTCACCACTGAGCTCTACAGGCTGCCTGACAGCCCTTGGGTTTGCACTTGCCCACCCATCCTACTTGGCAAGCTGGGCACCTGCCCGCTGCTCAGCTCTGCCCCATGGGCAAGAGCTGCCAAGTTGGGAACCTGATTTCCCCAAGAGCCCTTGGCTACCTCACTGCATCCCGCAGGATGGCAAGGTCAGTGCCAGCCTCTTCACAACTGAGTCCCTAAGGATGGACATCGCGCAATGGGGTCCCTGCCACAGCCCAGGCAGGTCCCCCTGTGCTACGGACCCACCTTCTCCTCTTCCTCCTCCTCTGCCAGCTTCTGCTCGATGAGCTCCTTGGCCCGTTCCACATCCAGTTCCATGTCTGCCCACAGCGCACAGTCCTGTGCAGGATGTATCCTTTTCTCCTTGCCACCACAGGCAGGGAGTGCCCGGTCCTGGCTCCTGGTGCTGCCGGCAGCTCCACTGGCTGTGGGGCTTTATGCTGCTGGCCCCTCCGTTCCACAGCCCAAAGGCACCAACAGCTGTGGCTGCTCCACATGACTGGGGCAGCTTTGCCATGAGCTCACCCTCCTGCTTTCTGGTGGCCCTGACTCACCTTTCCAGCCCTGCTCTTAAAGAGACCCATTGCCACCCCACGGGTTGCCCCGTACTCCCGTATTTGTAATAGGGAGCTGGGGTACACAGAACTCATGGTAGCCAGTCAAGAGGGGCTCAGCAGAGCAGGGACATGATCCGGGGTCATCCCATAGGCACAATGCCTGTGCAACCCATTCTGGGCATCCAAGAAGCTCCCCATGGTTCCCTTTACCCCATCTCTGTGCAACCAGATGCTGCAGCAGCTACCAGTGTTGCCCAAGGCTTCCTGGCACCTGGGACTGGGGGGGCTACCCACTCCCACAGGAGGCAGTGGTCCTCTCAAGCCTCTCAGCCAGCAGCAGGCAGCATGGGATGCCAGAAGTCATGGCCCCTCTGTGCTGCTTTAGAGGATGACCTCAGGTGTGGAACATTCCGAGCAGCCCTGCCAAGGGTCTCTGTGGCTGTCCGGTCTCCTCCACTGCACACGGCAGCCTGGCAGCAGGGCTGGCCTCACATGGAGCTAACAGGCAGAGCTGGCAGCTATTCCCGGCAGCAGGAACATTGTTCAACCCTTCTGAGCACTCTCCCCTTGTAAGATGAGGCCAGCACTGCCCTGTGCCGGAACAGTTAATGCGCTGGGCACTATCCCCCAACACAGGACCTGGGGGAGGGACAGATGGTAACACGTCACTGTCACCCTCCTGAGCAGTCCCCAGGGCCACCCTCAGGTGACAAAGGCACTATTTTTACCAGGACAGGCCATGAAGGTGGTCCTGGGATTTTCCCCCTCCATGGACTGTCCCACCTGGCCCCAGGGCAGACACAGGCTTAAACCTGGGGGGAGCATTGGGAAAGGGAGGTGGTCATCCCACACTGAGAAGCAGCCAGGATGACAGTGGGAGGACGTGCTGGGGAAGGGTCCAGGCAGGCAAAGGGCTGGAGCTGGCAGGACAGGATCAGGGCAGCACTAGGCAGCAGAGCTGGGATGTCCAGGCTACCCTCGGCCACCCTATGCTTATCCTGACATGAGAGCAGATATAGGACAGGCATGGGTACCTCCTGGCACTGTGGGTGACAGCCCCCTCCAGCCTGTTCCTGAGGCCAGAGAAAGGATGAAAAGGCTTTATTGATAAATACAGACTATGTACAAAGGGGAGACATCTCCACCCAGCCCAGCATCCCACAGGTCTCCAGGCCAGGGGGAGCCAGAGCCCAGTGGGTCACAGCCTCTCCCCACCGGCACAGCCTGGCAGAGGAGCCCCAGCCCCAGAAACATTTGGTCTCGAACCTCCTGCAGAAAACACGGCGCCTGCCCGTGTTCCCAGGCAAGAGGGGCCACTGCGGTGGCAGAGCCCCATGCAAACCTTCCTGGCGGGTCCCCCTGGCAGGGGGCAGCCTC